TGACCTTCACGATCCTTCTACATATAGAATAATAATGAACGTTAGTACAGGTCCATTATTTGTTCACCGCTCCTGTTTACTCCGTCCCTTTTCTCTTCATCTTCACTCGCTCTTGATTTCCCTTCAGTTGCCTCCTTTGTATGTTCATCTAGCATCCAACTTTTCTCTTCCTCCCTGGGAGGTTCCAACAGTTCATGTCTGTTCTTCCCCACTGCCGTGCACGAAAGCTCAAATACTTAGTTACTTCTTGCTCACTTTTCCTCAATCACTTCCGGTCTTATTATCATGCCAATGCAGTGTACACTGATGGTTCTAAATCCTCTGACGGTGTTTGGTTTGCAGCAGTGAGAAGTATCCAATAACATTCACCCTCCCCCATCTACTTCAATCCCGGCCAGAGGCATAGTTGATGTACCTCAAAATCCTCAAGAGACAGCTGCAGCTTAGCACCCTCAAGATACCTACAGCCTTCGTAGAAGTCAAAAGGGTAGACCAACATCCTTAAGGGACCCAGGAACTTCGACTCAACATGCTGAAATTGTTGATCAAAACCTTCATGGGGCACAGGATCTGTAGCATAGGTTACACACAACAAAAGATGTACGTCTTTGTTAAGTATATATGCACCGAAAGGTGGATGTCTCTCAATGCATATATGTTGAGAGGTACCTGTTGTAGAGATTCTTGGCTTGTGATGCAGCGCTGTATAACCCTTAAGGGTTTGGCGCTTCGTTATGATTATAATAATAACTGATTTGTGGTGACCTCTCAAGGGAGGTTCCTTGATGCCAGTGAGGGGCTTGTGATCAAAGAAATTGGAGCTATGCCCCGCCTTCCTTCTGTCCAATCTGAAATCCTGAATACTATGGTTCAGCATTCCACATGAATGTAATAATTAACTGGTGGCGTACAGGCTACATGCAATCTTTAAAACTATGTACAATCAATATGTTTTAAAACCAATTAACTATCCAACACAGGATGTAGATCAACACCCTTAAAAGGCCCAGAAGCTAAAGTTCAACAGTCAGACAATGAAAATATAAGTGCAAGCAGATGAAACTAGATTTACGATGTCCGTAGAGTTTTTGTCTGGGTAACGTCAAACAACCCGCACTTCTCTCTCCTAAGTGCGGCTTATTTGTGTATTAACCCTTCAAGATAAGGTGCCTTGACGCCGGCTGGGGGGCACTGACCCTTGGAACATCCTCCAAGTATATTCCAAGTAGCCTACCGAAAAAAAATTATATTTAATGCACGGAACCCTTAAAGGAACAAAAAATCCGAACACTAGTATAGGTATTCCCTTTTAAAGGATACCTAATACTCATATGCGTCTGTGTATCTAACATTTACAATTTAATTGTGACTATATTAGGTATTCACCTTTTAGGGGCTACTTAATCTGAATAACACGTACGTCTTCCACATGTTTCATTTTTTTTTTTCATACCAACAATTATGGTATATATCACATTTGCATTATATTTTCTCCCAATAATGTCACCGTACAACAGACGATAAAACGCCCCCTTTCTCTTCCTCCCTTTTTTACCTACTTTTACTGCTTGATAAGTAGATGGTGCACTAAAAATGCCCATTCACCTGGCCTAGTAATAGAACCTGATACCTTTCGACCTACCTGGAGTTCATTACCTTTGTAAATTGTGAGTTCATTACCTTTGTAAATTGTGAGTTCATTACCTTTGTAAATTGTGAGTTCATTACCTCTGTAACTTGCTCAGCTATCAAAACTTTGGAGTCCAGTCCCTGGACCAATTATGTACCTCTGTAATCTTTTGACTACCGCCCACAGGATGGGTATGGGGTGCATAATAAACATATTAAACTAACTAACTTTCGGGTGTCTGACGGACGCTCACACCTCTGAGCTACGAGTAACCAGACACCATGAGGATTAATTGTAACTTAGGCCAGCTTACTGTTAGTGACTAATAAACATGAGCCTTTTACAACATTTATTTTCTTTCTGTTTTTGCACAAGAGGATACAAACAAAATCCCCAGAAATCAATAATTATACTGGTCAGGACGAAAATAAATTATGTAACATCAAAATCACTAGACTAGTGACATGATCCTCAGACAACTTGAAAGACTAAAGCCAAACAAGTCACTGAGCCCTGATGAGCTGTTTTCAAGTGTTCTAAAGAAATACAAGGAGGAACATAGCAAACCCTTAGCTAGTATCTTCAACATATCACTACAAACAGGTATTGCACCGGATAAACGGAAAATGGATAAAATGATCCCAATTTGCAAAGCGGATGAGAAACCCATAACTTCAAATTATAGATCAATCAGCCTAACCTGAATCGTGGGAAAGACAATGGAATCAATAATTGCCGATACAGTTCGAAGCCACCTTGAAAGAACTAATTTGATCAATGAATCTTAGCACTGTTTTACAAAAGGAATGTCTCTGTCTTGCGAATTTACTAAAAAATTTCATTGAGGTATTCAAGGCAGTATACTAAGATAAAGAATGGTACTGTACATATGGATTTTTAATAAGGTTTTTGATAAAGTTCCACACAGGAGACTGATTAAGAAAGTGGCACTACATGGAATAAGTGGAGAATCATCTCCCGAGTGGAAACATGGGGAGAAATCTGAATGGGGACCAGTTATGATTGGTGTGTCACATGGGTAAGCGGTGGGATCCTCCTTGTTCAGTCTACATAAACGACATTGATGAATAAATAGCGACATATAAGTAAGTTTGCCGATGACACTAAAATAGGCCATCAAATTTCTGATGTGGCCAAAAAGTACAGGATGACCTAAATAGGTTGATGTGGTCAGAGAAGTGGTAGGTGTAGTTCAATGTAGATAAGTGTAAGGCTCTAATTTTGTGGGTTTAGCGCTTGGTTTTTATTGTAATAATAATAATCTAATCTTAAGAAAAGGAAATAACTATGACACTTATGAACTAAACAATGTAGATCTTAGTCAATGGGAATGCGAGAAATATTTAGGAGTTTGATTAGCAGAAATTTAAAACCAAGACAATAGTAAAGCTAAGACAATTTTGGCTTCGTATAAAGAAGCATAAATAATAATAGACGTCTTAAGGTTATACCTCAGCTTTATATAATTTTGGTTGGACCTCATGTAGATTATGCTATTTATAATTATCATATTTCTAATCTCATTAAAAAAGAATCACTACAACAGTGGCTTCCTAAGATGATTCCTCTTAAGGTGTTATAACCAAATCTTTAAATTGGCTGCAGAAACAACATGAAGTTCAATGGTGAGAAATTTCAATTACTCCGATATGGAAAACGTGAGGAAATTAAAACTTCATCGGAGTATAAAACAAAATCCAACCACACAATAGAGCGAAAAACTAATGTCAAAGACCTGGGAGTGATCATGTCAAGAGTATCTCACCTTCAAGGACCATACCAAATTGTATCGATCGCATATGCTAGAAAAAATGACAGAATGGATAATGAGAACCTTCAAAACTAGAGATGCCAAGCCCATGATGACACTCTTCAAGTCGCTTGTTCTATCTAGGCTGGAATATTGCTGCACACTGACAGCATCTTTCAGGGCAGGTGAAATTGCTAACTTAGAAAATGTACAGAGAACCTTCACGGCGCGCATAACTGTGATAAAATACCTCAATTACTGGGAACGCTTGAAGTTCCTAAACCTGTACTCCCTGGAACGCAGGCGGGAGAGATACATGATTATATACACCTGGAAAATCCTAGAGGGACTAGCACCAAACTTGCACACGAAAATCACTCCCTACGAACGCAAAAGACTCGGCAGATGATGCAACATCATCCCCAATGGAAACCAGGGGTGCCACAAGCACGATAAGAGACAACATAAGTGTGCGGGGCCCAAGACTGTTCAACTGCCTCCTAGCATACATAAGGGGGATTACCAACAGACTCCTGTCTGTCTTCAAGCAGGCACTGGACAGGCGCCTTAAGTCAGTACCTGACCAGCCTGGTTGTGGGTCGTATGTTAGACTGCGTGCGGCTAGCAGTAACAGCCTGGCTGATCAGGCCCTAGTCCACCATGAGGTCTGGTCACAGACCGGGCCGCGGGGGCGTTGACCCCCAGAACTCTCTGCAGGTATGCCTGTGAAGGGCTGTTGATCCAAGGATCTGGACCTATTATCCCTTTCCTTGGATCAAACCTTATTGATGCCCACATACCAGGAGCGTCATGATCCCTGGAGAATTGAGACACTTATGCAACACATGGGAATCTTTATTGAAGAAACGTTTCGCCACACAGTGGCTTATCAGTCCAATACAAAGTAGAAATGGGTAAGGAGAGGAGGCGAAACGTTTCTTCAATAAAGATTCCCATGTGTTGCATAAGTGTCTCAATTCTTCAACTTGTCGGTTTTCTAAACCATTCATCACGTCATGATCCCTCACGGGTTTGGCTCTTCAATATCAATATAATGACAACGCCGATTCCATTATATTATTATTGGGAAGCGCTAAACCCACAGGGGTTTAGCACCTAGGTAATGGGAAGTAAAGTTGCCCAGTGCAAGGAAAGTTAGGAACAAGTCCAATTCCTTGGATCAAGAGCTCCTCACCGGCATCAAGGCACCTCCCGGGAGGGGAAGCAAGAGGTGGGCTGCATATACTGGACAGATTATTTTCCCCGCGGCAGCGTTAAATCCGCAGGGGTCATACAGCCTGTGCGGAACGGGAAGCGACGAGGTATAATCCAAGGAAGTGGAGGGTAGCTCCCATTCTCCGGATCAAGATCCCTTCCCCTGTCCCTGGAAAGCTGAGAGATCAGTAGCAGAGTATTACTGCGGGTGTCAGTACGTCCGATTCCTCTCTCTTAAAGACGCTTCCTTCTCCTCCTCCTCATAATCGTTAATAATTCTTCACAGCAACACCTCTGTACTATCAAAAAACATGGTAATTAAGCAATAATGTCCTCTCTACTCTCTCCTCGTTTCTTAACTATAATATAATTCTATTTCTCTTACAAGTCAGGCATTATAGTCAAGAATTCGGACGAATTACTCGTAAACAGCTGATTAAGTGGAAGGATATTTGTAATTTATATATATTTAATCCCACGTCTCCGTTATTAATGTTAATGGTATTTGTGTGCAAGCTATGAAACTGAAGGTGGGTTGCTGCAGAGTGTACTAGTGAAATATTAAGGAATTAACTTGTAGTATAAGTGAAGGTGGTGGGGGGCGTCTTATGGCCTCCTCCAGCAGTAGGTCAGTTGCTTTTTATTTAGACTTCCAGTACACAATTTCTTATGCACGGTGATCTTTAACACACATGTTATTGGGCACATAATAAGTACGTTATGTAGATTTAATAAAGGATAACTCACTTTAGTGAAAGAATGTGACATTCTAATTGGGATTGTTATTCATCACTAGCATATATAAAAATAATGAAGTTATATACAAGTTATGTGCACACTGCTACCTCAGTAAATTCACACGATGAAGATATTTGACCAATTGATGGAATTATAATTACCAGGGTAGTAAGGTGAGATGAGGATAGTTGACGACCCTGAGGGAGGTGGTGAGGCTGGTTGCTACATCTTGAAGCAGCTGGTGTTAAGCTTAACCAGAATCATTACACATTAAGGTTGTTAGAGACATCAGGTGGGTACTATAATGTGGGTGATATGAGGTCTAACCTCACACCAGGACAGTCTGAGACCACAGTTAGGTAAGGACCACAACACAGGGCATGTCATTCGTTACCTTAAATAGAATATATCTAAATGTTAAAAGTAAGTTTATTTGGGTGCAATTCAACTTTTTGATGAGAACAATTGTCTGACGTAATAATGTGTGGTAATTACTTAAGATGACCCCCTTAAAATCCAAGCAGTTTATTTCCTGGGGAATAAAATTGCTGACCTAGAAAATGTACAGAGAACCTTCACGGCACGCATAACGGAGATAAAACACCTCAATTACTGGGAGCGCTTGAGGTTCCTGAACCAGTATTCCCTGGAACGCAGACGGGAGAGATACATGATTATATACACCTGGAAAATCCTAGAGGGACTAGTGCCGAACTTGCATATGAAAATCACTCGCTACGAAAGCAAAAGACTTGGCAGACGATGCAACATCCCCCCAATGAAAAGCAGGGGTGTCACTAGCACGTTAAGAGACCATACAATAAGTGTCAGGGGCCCGAGACTGTTTAACTGCCTCCCAGCATACATAAGGGGGATTACCAACAGACCCCTGGCTGTCTTCAAGCTGGCACTGGACAAGCACCTAAAGTCGGTTCCTGACCAGCCGGGCTGTGGCTCGTACGTTGGTTTGCGTGCAGCCAGCAGTAACAGCCTGGTTGATCAGGCTCTGATCCACCAGGAGGCCTGGTCACAGACCGGGCCGCGGGGGTGTTGACCCCCGGAACTCTCTCCAGGTAAACTCCAGGTAATATAAAATTTTCCTAACATTGCACAAGTGGTTATTTCTTGCATGCCTCCTATTTCCCGGTATTATATTCCCTATGGGTTTAGTGCTTCCTTCTGATTAAAATGAATATATACAGTATGTATATTTATGTTACCAGATTTCAGTTGCTTGTTTATGTCATTATTATTAGTTAACTATTGGTTAATTTATGAATCCAACCAAACCTAGACTAAAATATTACTTTGTTGTATAGGCCTGGATTCAGCTTAGTCACAGATTGAGTTTTAGTCACAGAGGAAATGTACCAACCGACTAATACTGTGAGGTGCACAATTTAGTGGGAAGCGAAATAAACATTTGTTTGAATTTTTAACGTGGAGGGTTAGACAGGATAACCCAAGGTGAACAAGAACAGCAGGTACGTATAAGGAAACATGTCCAACGTTTCCACCCATGCCAGAGGTTGAACCATGGATGCTCGGTGTGTGATACAAATGGTTTGTCAACTGAGCCATGGGATACCAGTACATATATATCCCATACGAGTTTAGTGCTTGTTTTTCAGTATGTATACCAGTAATAACAGCCAAAAATGCAAAACTGCCGAGCTGACAGGTATTGATTATAAGTTTTGGCCTTGAGAAAGGTTGCCCTGGTTCATAATTGTGGTTTACTTAACGTATGTTAAATTATTATTATTATTATTATTATTATTATTATTATTATTATTATTATTATTATTATTATTATTATTATTATTATTATTATTTTTATCAAAAGAGGCGCTAAACCTACGAGAGTCATACAGCAGCATATGTTGAAAGCCAGGAAGGCATCTTGAATTGTTACAATTGTCTAAACATTCAAGCTAGTAGTGCTTCAGACGAGTTCTTTATGAAGTGCATTTATTCATCCATGTGATCAAGCACTTCTTGATTTGATCCATGTAACTATTGAATAATAGCTTAAATTTGTCAAGGGTTAAAATAGGAAGGAGAAAAAGAAAAACTTTGTTCAGATTTCTTATTCTGGAAGGTTAGTAAACTGAAGACAAAATTCAGAGACAGAGATATATTTCAGCATGATGTAATATTTGTACAGACATGGGTGACATTTGGTTGTGCATGCAGAAAGCCATAGTTATGCAGAGCATTTTGGGCAAGGATAACCCAAGAAAGCTAATCAGTGTACCTTACTTTCTTGTGGGATCTGTGCCTGGGAATCCATTTTGGCAAGCTGCCTCTAACCAGTCATTACCTAACAAGAGGAAAATATCAAAAGAATCACACAGCAAGTACTATATGCAACACACTAGGCCCTTATTCAGGTCCATAAAGCTACTAAATAAAAACAGCATTCATCCAAGTTATTGTTTGCTCCACATCTTTCAAACACTACACTGTAATGCTGACACTGATCTTAGAAATTTCCTGTGAATTTGCACTATAACAGACAGGTATCAGTCATGCTTGAAAGCAGGGATGTTATAAATCTTTTTTCTGTGTTAATTTTTTTTTTTTATTTTTTTTTTTTTTTTTTTTTTTGAAAAGTTCATTATTTTTATTTTCATTTTTTCATTTTTCTTTTTACTTTTATATTTAACCCTTAAATGGTCCAAACGTATATATATGTTTTTTCAACATCTGAAAGTATGTAAAAAAATGTAGATCTTCTTTTTTGTTTTACATTTGAAAACGTGTAAAAAAAAACTTTTATCTACATTTTTTTTTTGTTACATTTGAAAATATGTTAAAAAAAGTAGATCTACTTTTGTAGCACTACTAATTTGAACATTGATTTGTTTGGACCGTTTAAGGGTTAACCTGAAAAATACACCTGTACTACATGATTACAAAGAAATCATTGATAAGAGATTTAACTAGTGTGTATGTGACACTTTCTCACCTATTGGTATATCAAGCACATCCTGAGTACAAAGGCAGTAAGTTGACCAGGGAGCAAGAGAAGAAGTTGCTGAATGTCTGACATGGATAAATGAAGATTTTTTACCATCTCTGCTTGCTTTCTTCATTGGTGATGAGGATATGTACCCTAAATCAGTGCTGATGTCAAAAATAACCCAAGTGGTTGGAAATTCGTAAAAGCAAAAGCAGAAAAATCAGCCACATTGGTTTCAACTGAATGTTGTTTCAGCTTGAACTAGGTAGCCTTTTAGCAAATTGTGTTTCAGTTGAGAGCATCTTCTCTTTTGGGTGAATTTATGCTAAATTAACCCTTTGACTGTCGCAAGCCCCTTTCTGAAACTGTCATTCTATGTCGCAAAATTGTTGGAATTTTTTTTTTTTTTTCTTATGAAATGATAGAGAATCTTTAGCCAATGGTAATGACACCAAAAGTATGAGATTTGGTCGAAAACTCATGGAATTACTCTCCCGCGAAGTTAGCGGTCTCGTCGACATATATGCATCGGCGATTTCGCCGACTTTGAGCCCTGTTTTTGGCCAATTCCGTTGTTCCAGTTGACCAAACTCATAGCTATTTCTTTACAGCTCCATTTTTTCTATCAGTTGAGTACAAGAAACCGCCCATTTATCGATTTGAACTACCCAATAAATTGGTCAGAAATTGGCAATTTGGCCAATTTCATGCAAATTAAAAGAATGCCAATTTCAAAATAGGGTCCAGAATAAACAATGTAGACATTCTTGGCACTAAAATAACATATCCTCCATTCATTAGTCACATCTCTAGGCCCCTCTTGTATTACTATTGCTTTCTATTTTGATTTTGTATTCATACAAAAAATACAAAATTTACTGTTATGCAGACTACTGCATTATTGTAAAAATGGTATAAATAATATCAGTGCACTAGTGAAAGAATATTAGACTCCCCAGTTGACATGTATTGGACGTGTAGTGTGATTTGCGTACTCCTGAACATTGGTAAAAATTGAACATTTCCGCTACTTGGAGCTCAATTTCAAGATCGTTTTCATCGTGAGACTAATCAAGATCATCTCTATTTCTGTAATATGTTTTCCATTTTATCATGTGAGACCATGAAAACGAGAATACAACGATAAATACTATACAAAAATACATCTCAAAGTCGGCGTTTTAATCCAAAATAATGGTCAGTTTTTTTTTTCTCATGCACTGCGTGCTGCAGGATTTTTTTTAAGTGGTGCACACTGACCACACAGACCCATTCTCTCACATGTAGGCCTACCAGCTTTCTCCCACTTGATTTGAAGCTGTTAGAATTTATGCGTATAAATACGTCCGAAACAGTGGCGCGTAAGACGTATATATACAACCGAAACAGTCAAAGGGTTAAGAAACAGACTAGGTAATGAAAAATCTGAAAAAACTTGGTTTAATAGAATGCTTGAGGGGTAAAAACCGAGGACTGTGAACACTGTAAAGCATATACAGTGGACCCTTGGTTTTCGTGTTTAATCCGTTTCACAGCCATCGGCCAAAACCAAAATCGGCCCAAACCGAAACCATTTTTCCCATAAGAAAATCCATTCCAGACACTAGAAGTATCAACAAAATTTTTTTTTTTTACCTTAAATATACATTTACATGTACAAAAGAATGAACATTGAACATGACACCTTTATTGAAGGCTGTTGTTGCTGGAAGGAAGGCAGGGAGGAAGGGAGAGGGAAGATAGGTTATTGTTTGGAAGGGAAATCCCCCTCCATAAGGATTCTAGGTACCAAGTCCTTATCTGGGATCACTTCCCTCCTTTGCTTTT